ATTTTAATAATATATTTGTTAATTTATATGTTTACATTTATTTATACATGTAAATAGCACGTGACCTTGCAGACTTGCACTAGTGAAAATAAATTCAAAGCATTATAAAAACCGCTTGTTTTTATTTCCGTTGCTGGTGTACGTGTGTTTCATTGGGGTCGGCAAGGGCAAGGGAGTGCGTAACGACGAATGTGTTCTCCATTTTGCTACTCTCAAGATGAAAAATAGTAGACGAACAATATATAAAAATGTGGACATGATGAAAGTTATTCTATCCACAAGAAATATGATTTCTCTTTCGAAGTAGTGTTTTTTCTGTTTTTTTTTCAAATACTACATGTTCACAGTCAACCTGCAAAAAACAGAAAGCCATAAACTGAGGGTTTCCTTAAACAAGATCTACTAAGTAATTAAATAGAGTTAATTGTTTGATTTAATAAGTAAAATTTTAACTTGTTATTTGTTATTGCACAAAATATATTTAAGTCCAAGTTAACAAAAAAGCGAAAAACAAGAGTCCGAATCACCTGCCAATAAAATATGTTCCAATCCTCTATCAACATGATCTTACAACACACATCTCATACATTACGGGTCCCACTTTTATGATGGGCCCCAGTCTTATGGTGAGGTGTGTGGTGTTAGATTAAGTTGGCAGAGGTTGGAACGTGTTTTGTTGGCTGAAGATCTCAACTCGAAAAACAAACCCCACTTATCAAATAATGTAATGTCAAAGGAAAACAAAAATAATCACCACATTCCCATGGACTTATCATTGTGTTTTTTAACTCAAATTGGTTATCCGCACCCAGCCCACAGCATATTGCAACCGTACATTAAGAACATCTTCCAACTTATATGTTGTTATTCACAAGGAGATGTTCCCAATGCATGGACATTATGCTGTGGGGTTGGTGTGGGAATTTGGTAAAATAAGATGTTCGATTCCTACTAGCCATTGCAGCTATACATTGTGAACATCTCCACATGAATGACAAATGAGATATGCGATCTGAATATATGGTTTAGGAATGGCAATAGGGTGGGGTGGGGACAGGGAGCCACTCCCCGTCCCCGTGAAAATATCCATTCTCGTCTCCACTAGTAGGGACAATGTTATTCCCATTCTTACGGGGATTCTCACTCTTCATGATTTTTTATAATGTCAATTATTTATATTTTATTTAAAAAATTACAAATAAAATATTTAAAATTCAAATATATTTTTAAAAATATCAATGTATATACATACATACATACATATATAGCTCTAACTCATTTATGAGTGGAGTTCAATTTCACTAAAATTTTCCAACCGTAGTTACAATGCTAATTACATGTTATCTTCAGAAAGGACGAGCAGTCCATTGATGCAGGGCGCTGGTTCCGTTCAATGTCCTTCATGCAAGGAGTGAAAATAAATAAGATCAGATCAGTGTTTAAAAATCAATGATTCAATGCACTCGTGTTGGATAGGTTTTGATCAATTTCTGGTTTTAAAAAGAAACAGACCCAAAAAAGGGTACACATGACGCTTCAAATGGCTTGATTGTATGAATCAACAAGTTGAAAGCATTGGATCAGATCAGTGATACTTGTGATGCACCAGGAATCACACACATACATAACAATATGACCTCTTAAAGCCGATTAGATGTCATATATGAGGGTGAAGGGTCACTCCGGATCAACTCATTACTTATTACTGGGATCCATTGCTAGATTCCCAATAAGAATGCACCTTTGAGAGTGTAAGTATATATTGTTGCGTGGTCAAAATGCACAATTTATGTTTGCATGCTAGAAAGGTGAATTGTGCATAGTGAGAATAGGTCGATTCGGTTTAGTTCGAAGGCAGAACCTAGAGCTATCATATGTAGTGGCAGGTTTTTGGAACCATTGTAGGGTTGGTTTTGGCCTTGGTGGTTTTAAGGTTTATTCATGAAATTTGCTTTTTCTTTATCCCTTCACCTCAAAAGAACGGAATTTTTTTTTCTAAAAAAAAAATCATTTGACTGACTCAATGGTCAAATAAGACCATGATCTTTATAACCATGAGTGATTGGGTTCAAATCCTTACACTCCGAAAGAATTCTAGGATTTATTTGAAGACAAGTTTGGTTCCAAGACTGGTTCCACTAAGGTCAATTCTTCGGGTTGGTTTCTGTAGGATAAACCCCTAGACCTGGACTAGCCTAGGTGAGAGTTAATTTGAAGAATTTGGAAGTAAAGCCTATCCAATATCCATTTGCTCACCCCTACATGTTTACATCTTTACATACAACTCTCCGCTAGGCTCAGAAACCGATTGATCCAACCAAGGCCAATTAAGGCCTAATATGCATAAAAACCCTAGTGTATGTTGCACTGAGCGCACTCTAGCTAGCCCAGCAAACTCTTGTATTTTGTATTATTTGAGTGCAAAATCTTGTATTTTGTATTATTTTGTATTGTACATATTTTTATTTGCATTCTTCCCAAACTAAGTGTATGGACTCAGCTTGCGAAGAGTATAAATCCAAATATGTACAGTGCAAATAAAGGGTTTAAAAATACCTTATATAAAGTTTTTTTTTCTTTTTTTTTGAAAAGAGAAGAAGTGTACTACACACAACCGGGGGTAGTATGTCCCCAAAAATTTGCAAAACAAATAAGAAGAAAGGAATGGGGAAGGGAGGAGATACAAAGGTCTAGGGAAGGGGTAGAAGAAGAAAGATTTTCATGAGTAAGCCAATCTACTGCCTGGTTCGCTTCTCTGAAAATATGTTGGTACCAAAGACCTCCTTCGAACAAAACTCTCCACCTTAAGCAACAAGAGATGACACCTTTCAAATTCCAAAGAACTTCCTCCTTTTTGTTGAGGCACGAGATAACCAAGAATGAATTGCCCTCGATTATAATAGGATACTCCCTATAGTTTGCCGCTTGAATATGGGCTTCCCATGTAGCCCATGCTTCCACTTGGTTGATGGTACAGGTGACAAGTTTATATGCTTTAACTGTTAGCACCTAACCAAGATGGTCACGAGCAATACTAGCCACAGAACATTTTTCATCACTATTACGAGAGGCATCAAAATTTATTTTAATAGTGCCAAATTTTGGAGCACTCCAAATAATTGGTTTCCACACTTTATCAATTCGGGCAATGTCTTTATCTTTGCTCCCATCAAGAAACTCCAAATAACATATCAAGAGCCCATTCCAAAATAATTGGAATGGGAGTTGCAACATTATTGAAAGTTTTTGAGTTCCTATTTTTTTAGACAGCCCAAAGAACAAAAGCTAGTTTTTCCTTTACTAAAGGAATCTTGTTTTCCTTTTTGTTTCCGACCCTTGTCCAACAATCACTTAAATTTTCATTCTCATTTGGGCCCTCTAGGGGAGTGTTTAAGGTAAGCCAAATTTGTTGTGTGGGCACAATTTTTAAAAATATGATCAATATCCTCTCCATCCCCACAAAAGCTACAAGAGCCATCGATGTTATAACCTCTTTTCCTTACATGGCTTTTAGTAGGAAGTCTATTGTTGAGAAGGAAAAAGAGAAAAGTCTTTATCTTTGGAGGGCATTTGATGTTCCAAATATATATATTTGTATTTATACTCTTCCCAAACTGAGCCTTAAGCTACGTTTGGGAAGAGTGCCAATACAAGGTTTAAAATAGAAATATGAACCTTTTAAAAGATTTGCACTGTACATATTTGTATTTGCACTCTTTCCAAATGAAACCTTAGGCTGCGTTTGGTTGCAATGCAATTTTTTTTGCACTGATGTAAAACTATGGTAGTGCAAATGTTTTGGGTGTAAATTTTGATTTATTTTTATTTTAAATTTTATCTTACTTTGTTGGCTTGCCATACAAATGAAGTAAAATAAGGCTTAAAGCAGAATAAAGTAAATTCCAAAACAAAATTAAACCAATATTTGCATTTTTTTCTTCCATTTTTACTCCCATACATTTGTACTAGTGCATATAAAATTGCATTGAAACCAAACACAGCCTTAGGCTCAATTTGGAAGGAGTACAAATACAAATATGTAGAGTGCAAAACCTTATATTTCGCATTATTTTTGTATGTATTTGTATTGTACATATTTGCATTTGTACTCTTTCCAAACTAAGCCATAGGCCTTGTTGGCTTGCAGTGCAATTTCATTTGTACTAATACTAATACATGAGCATGCAAATGAAAGGAATGTAAAATCTGATTTACTTTTGATTTTGGTTTTACTTTGCTAAGGCTTAGTTTGGAAGGAGTACATTTGTACTAGTGCATACAAAATCATGCAAAACCTTGCATTTTGCATGATTTTGTATGTATTTGTATTGTACATACTTGTATTTGTTCTCTTTCCAAACTGAGTCTAAAAGTCTCATTTTACTTCATCTATAATGGAAGTTGTCAAAATAAGGCAAATACTAAACAAAAAACAAATGATAAGGCTCCATTTGGAAGGATTACAAATACAAATATGTACAATGCAAAACCTTGTACTTTGTATGTATTTGTACTGTACATATTTACATTTGTACCCCTTCCAAACTTCCAAACTGAGCCTATTTTGCAATCAAATCATTTGCACTCCCATTCTTTTGAACTAGTGCAAATAAAATTGCAATGCAAACAAACCAGGCCTTAATTACATCGCCTTAGTATGTCTGAGTTGATGACAAGCCCAAATGTTTGGCAATAATGCACTAGTTAATGTGAGCAGACATACACATATTGTAATGGGTTATTTTACAAAGTCGTATATCATTAGGGCTGCAAAACTGTATCGGCTTGTCCGAATTCAAATTTGAATTTGATCCAGTTAAAACGATCCAAATCCAATTTGTTTATGATCATATGGAATATGGACGCACTAAACAGAACGGAATGGGCCAAGCGGCCCAAGCCTTATTTCATTCCAAAAAATATCCGAAACCGAGATCTGAATCCGATCTAAATCTGAAGGATAAGATATCATTCGAATGGCAATTGATAATAACGGGGAGGTACCGTACAGACGGATAACCCGAGATAAGCGATCTATAGTTATCGAAATTTGTCGAAAGAGAGATCCAAATTCCGAAATGGCAGCAGCCGCCCGGGTTCTGGTGATAATGTCGTCTACTTCCTCCTCCATTTCCGGTCAAACGGCAAGGAAAAATAGTAACTGCAAGCGGGTAAGTCCCGCCAAAAACATTGTTCCGACGAGGTTCTGGTTCTCAGCTGAAACGAAAACAAGGAATTTTCAGTTACGAGCTTCTTCTTCCCAACCTCAGCAGCCAGAACAGGATGATTCCGCCAAAAACAACAATAATGGCAACGACGTTCTCCTCCCTTCGGTCAGTTCTCCCTCATCCACTGACCACTTTTTTTTAGTTCTTGGGTTTTTTCGAAATATCAAGTTGAGAATTGAGATGGATTAAACACCTCTTTCTTCCTATCCCAATCTCCTGAGGCCGTTAGAACCCTTTTATGGTGATTCATGAATATTTTCTGCTGTTGTTGTGCTGCTATTCAACTTTAATCGAATTTAGAGCTTAGGGGAACCTTTGGTCTTGTTTTACATTAATGGGTTTTGGAGGGTTTTGTTTTTTTACCTCTTACTTTACCTTAGAACTGTTCTAAGTAGATACTGGTCTTAAGTTTGGTGGAGTATAACCGGAGAACCAGGGGAATAGACCGATTTCGACTCCTCTTATGTCCTGTTCTGACTTGGCCTTGGCCTAGGTCTACATGATGACCTGGGTCAATCGAAGGTTTTTATGACTGAAGCACACGGAATAAGAAATACTAGCACTGCAGTAGAAGATGAAGTTGGTCCAATATTCTTCAGGCTTTTCTTTCTGAAAGGAAAATAAAGGATAAAAATAGAGAAAACCCAGTGGAATTGTTTGAAATAGAAAGTTAACTTCCTTGATTTTTCTTTAGGGAACCCCTATGGCCCAAATCTGGCTTTTTCAATGTAGAGGCAGGGAATTGCTTGCTACACTACTGGAGCTGTTAGAGTGTTTGATTTCAATGAATTGGAGGATTTCGCAGCTTAAGTGGTGCAAAAAGATATTTGCTTTAGCTTTACTGGCCCACATTAGGTAGGAGAGTCCTCATCATCCTTTACCTTGGTAGCTATTGGGTTGGATCCATAGAACTCAATTTCTTCTTCTCTAAAAAATTATCTTAAATGAGAATTTAAATGATTATATATTAATTGCATCAAACATTTTTAATCTGAACTTAGCAAATGATAGCACTGAGTTCTGTGTGACTTCATATTACTGATCATAGTATTGTATTTCCAAATCAAGATAATAATGTACTTTGATGTAATCCAAATCTGATGCGAGAACTTTCATTGATTTGAGATAAAGTTTGCCTACTGTAAAAATTAGATGTATTTCATCACCCTGAGGTTTGAAACCTTCTGAGTTAAAAACACAGATTTCTGTTCACTGCTTAAATGCCATAGGTTTAAGGATAGACGTAGAAGTGGCTTTCATTAATGACTTGCCAGAATTATAGTTAACGTAAAATTAATGTGGCAGCAAATTGACCAAGTTGTGACTAGATTGTATTGAATTTGATATTGACAGAATTGTGCACTAAAATGGTCTGGTAATTGATGACTAGAACTTGATAAATTCTAATAGTTTAAGATGTGGCAGATGAATTTTTGTCCAATACTCCAATATTCTTCAATTCTTCATGGATTAAAAACTAAAAAAAAATCAATTTTGAAGGTCAAATTTAGTAGTTGTTCTTTAGGGATAGGGAACCTCATTACCTGAATAGTTGACACTGACAACCTTGTTTGCCATGGAAACAGGGAATAGTTTGAAGGCACTGTACAGGTGGGGGAATGGCAGTTTTATCAGAACTAAAGATATTTCTTGTACTTCTGATGACCCACATTTGTTATGTGACTATTGTGCTTTAACTAGTGTGGGTAATTCTTTTCCCAGTGCAATTATTTCATCAAGCACCTAATAACATGAATTGAATAACAAAACACAGTATTGTTTTCATTATATATTGACATCATCAATTTTACTGTTTTATTTAATAATGTATTGTTGTACAAATTTTATCTAGGATAGCTTTCATAGAGGTTATGGGCTTCCTATCATCACCAAGAGAATTATGAAACTTGGTTAGATCTCTGTACACTGCTGAAGCACTTCAGGCATAGGGATACACATATAGATGACTTACCTTAGTGATTATGGGTATTGGTGCTGCACATGTATGTGGAGCAGGTATTTGTGCTCCAAAATGGGTGCGTTGGAAAGTGAGGTTCAGCAAAAGCCAAATCGGTTAGTGGTGCAGAGTGAGGAAGAGGATCTGTTGGAGGTGGACCCGATTGTGATGGTGGCTGCGGAGTCTCAAGCTATGGCTGATGGAGGTGGACAAGAGGACATGGGGTTACAGGGGGAAGGGAATAAGCTTGGAATTCAGCTAGGGGAGTTTCATCGGATGGGCAGCTGCAGGAAAGTAGTAACGAATTATTGGCTCAGCTGAAGCTGGTTGGGGAGCAATCGGTAAGTGGTTCTGATTCCTCTTGGGTCTCTTCTAAGTTATTGGGGCTGGGAAAATTCCTGGGGATCTCACTAGAAGGTTTGGAAGAGGAGACAATCAAGTACTTGGAAGGGGTTGAGCAAACAATGTGCTAGGCTATGGGAAAAGCCACAGTAAAGAAAGGGGGTAATAAGTCTAAACAAAGCAGAGAACTGTTACGGTTGACCTTGAGCCTTAATGAAAGATGGGGTAGCAGTGAGGGGAGTTTGAGGGGGGGGGGTGAGAAAGGCTTAAATGCCTTTTGTCATACTTGGTGGTTTTGTTATGGAGTTCAAGGTTCTTTCTTGGAACGTTAGGGGTTTGGGGTCGGGGAGAAGAAGGTTGGTTGTTTGTGATTCTCTGAAAACTTCTGGTTCAAAGGTGGTTCTGATACAAGAAACTAAATTGGAAAGTGTGGAGGCAGCAATGATTAGGAGTATCTGGGGGGAGGGGGAGGTTAGGTGGAGGTCAAAGTCTGCTGTTGGAAGTGTAGGGAGATTACTGAGCATGTGGGACCAGACTGTTTATAGTCTGATTTCATTTCAGATTGGGAATTTTTCAATTTCCCTTGTTTTGAAGCTTGCTGATGATAATGTTTGTCAAATAACTAATGTGTATGACCCTAATGGCCAAAGTCGGAGGGAGGAGTTTTGGGAGGAACTGGCTGTGGCTAGGGGTAATCATTCTTGTCCATGGATTATAGGCAGGGATTTTAATGTCACATTGTCGATGGATGAAAGAAGTTTGGATGGGAGAAGATCGAGGGATTTGGTGCAGTTTGCTGAATTAATCAACAGAGTTGAGCTTCAAGACCTTCCTCTCCACGGTAACAAGTTTACTTGGACCAACAATCAAGATGTCTTTCCGGAGATTAAGCAGATTGCTCTTCCTAGGCCAATGTCAGATCACAGTCCAATTCAGCTGGTTTGTGGTGCTAGAACGAGAGCCAAAGTTCCTTTTAAACTAGAGAATGCTTGGTTTTAGGATGCTAATCTTGTTCCTTTGTTGAAGTCAGTTTAAGGGGAGCTGCAAATAGAGGGTACCAGTTCTTTCATTTTGGCAAAGAAATTGGGGGCCATCAAAGCAAGATTAAAGATTTGGAAGTTGGAAAAGAATTTGAATTCAGACACAGAGAAGAAGGCTCTCCTGAGTTCCTTTGTTGAAGTCAGTTTAAGGGGAGCTGCAAATAGAGGGTACCAGTTCTTTCATTTTGGCAAAGAAATTGGGGGCCATCAAAGCAAGATTAAAGATTTGGAAGTTGGAAAAGAATTTGAATTCAGACACAGAGAAGAAGGCTCTCCTGAGTTTATTTAAGGAGATAGATACAGCTGAAGAACTTGGTCCCATAGCTGAGGAGCTCAGATTAATAAGATAGGAGGCCAAGTTGAAGTTTGATAAACTGGAAGTGGTGGAAGAAATTAAATGGAGGCAAAGAGCTAAAGTTGCTTGGCTGAAAGAGGGGGATAGGAATACACATTTTTTTCACAAAATGGCAAATGCTAGAGCTAGAGCTTCTGTAATTACCAAACTGGAGGGGGAGGGCAGGGTAGATATCACTGAGACTAACATGAAGTTTGTGGCATCAGATTTTTATAAGAAGCTGTACAAGGAATTTGGTCTTCCAGACCTTTCCCTAGATCCCTTCCTTTTAACCAGTTGAGTGAGGAGCAACCTTCCCTTATTGAGGGCCCCTTCTCTGAGGAGGAAATTAAAGGAGCAATCAAGTTGTTGGCCGATGAGAAGTCTCTTGGCCCCGATGGCCTTACAAATCTCTTTTACATTAAATGCTAGGATGTGGTGAGACAAGACATCATGAATGTTTTCCAGGACTTTTTTGAGAGGGGTTCTTTGCAGAGAAGCATGAACTCTACTTTCATCACCCTTATTCCAAAGATTGAAGGTGCAGTCAATATAAGGGATTTCAGGCTGATTAGCCTTCTGCATAGTTTTTATAAAATCCTAACTAAAGTGCTTGCCGAAAGATTAAAAGGAGTACTTGGTAGTGTCATCTCAAACAACCAAAGTGCTTTCATTCCGGGTAGGCAGATGCTTGATTCGGTGCTTATTGCTAATGAGCTCATTCATTCAAGGAAAAAAGAAGGTTCCCCAGGTTTGATTTGTAAACTTGACATTGAGAAGGCCTATGACCATGTTAACTGGAGATGTGTGGACCTTGTGTTGCATCAGATGAATTTTGGGCAGAAATGGCGAAATTGGATTAAAGTCTGTATCACTTCTCCAAAGTTCTCAGTCCTGGTAAATGGGTAGGCTGCAAGTTTCTTTGACAATTCCAGGGGCCTTAGGCAGGGAGACCCCTTATCTCCTCTTCTTTTTATATGTGTAATGGAGATCCTGACTCTGTTCTGTAAGAAGGTTGCAAGCTCGGGAGAGTGGGATGGTTTTGCTATTGTGCCGAGGGGAGAGAAGGTGAATATTCTTCAATTTACAGATGATACTCTATGTTTTGTGGATGCCTCTCCTTCTCAGGTGGAACTTGTCCTTGGAATTCTATCTTGGTTTGAAGTGATTACAGGGCTAAAAGTAAATTGAAACAAGAGCCAAATCATCCCAGTTGGCCAAGTTTCTAATTTAGCTGAATGTTCTGATATTTTGGCTTGTCAAATTGGATCCCTCCCAATTAATTATTTCGGCCTCCCGTTAGGGGTGAGTGGTGGTTCCTCTGTAATTTGGGACCCAGTTATTGAGAGATTGGAAAGGAAGTTGGCTTCTTTGAAGGCAAAATATCTTTCTTTTGGGGGGAGGGTGATTCTGATTAAGAGTACTTGGTGAGTTGGGGAGCAAGTTTGCCTCCCCAAATCAGATGGGGGGGTTAGGTATAAGGAAGCTGAAAAATTTTAACTCTGCTCTGCTTGGTAAATGGATATGGAGATTTGCTGTAGAGCCTGATGCGTGGTGGAGATCTCTCATTGCTAGTAAATATGGTGTGAGTTGGGGAAACTGGAGAACTAGGGATCCTCCTCGTAACTGGGGTAACTCCCTATGGAAAGGGATAATGAAGACCTATTCAGATTTGGCCGGGGGAGTCTCAGTTAGGGTGGGTAATGATAATAGGACCAAATTCTGGAAGGACCCTTGGTGTTCTGATGTTCCTTTCGCTGAGTCCTTTCCACTCCTATTTCAGTGTGCTTCAGATCAAGAGGTCTCAGTTGCTGAGTGTTATAACATTTCGAGTGGTTCAGTTCTTTGGACTCCCCCTTTTTGCAGGAATCTTTTTGATTGGGAGATGGAAGAGGCTGTGAATCTCTTGTCATGTCTTCAAAAATCAAGCTCTGGATTATAATTTGGAGGACAAGTGGTTTTGGAGGTGGAATTCTGATGGTCTGTTTTCTGTTAAATCCCTGGCTGCTTTGATAGGAAGGAGGGGTGGGCCTGATTTCCCAGATCGGCAAATATGGAATCCAACCAGCCCGACAAAAGCATGCTTCTTAGTTTGGACTATGGCTCTAAATAAATGCCTTTCTAAGGAAAACCTAGTGAGAAGGGGCATCCAGGTTTCAGACTTGTCTTGTAGTTTATGTGGTTGCAATGTTGAATCCACTGATCATTTGTGCATCCACTGCCCATTTTCTGCTCATTTGTGGAATCATCTCCCCAACATTGTGAAGGTTAGCTGGGTGATGCCAAGGTCGGTTAAAGAGTTGTTAAACTGTTGGCAGATTAAGGGTTTGAGCAAGAAAAGGAAGGTTCTCTAGAAGCTGATTCCAATTGTGGTTCTGGTGCATCTGGACCGAGAGGAACAGAAGGGTTTTTAATAACAAGTCTCTTAGTCCGGAGGATCTATCTCAGAAGTTAGTGGGTAAGCTGGTTTCATGGCTGTCTGTGAGTGCTGAGTTTAGATATTGTAATGTATCAGATGTTTTATTTTTTGTTTCTTGATAGTTCATGTATTTGCTGTTTTTGATCAGTCAGCCATTTCAGGGACCGATCTCAGCTTCCTGTGTGTATCTCTTTCTCAATAAATATTACTTTACCTTTTCCAAAAAAAAAATGCATGTGGAGCAGGTAGCACTATTCAAGTATCTGTAGGTGTCTGGCATGTTAGCCTCTAGAGATCATTGTGCAAAGAGATGGCCAGTAATAACCATTAAGTGACATGTAATTTAAAATATAGTAAGGTAGAGGATTTTAAAGAAAAACCTAAAAATCGAAGTATTTGCACCATATTGATATATCATTTCTCATGACACATTGCCTAATAAAGTGCTTGGATATTTATTTGGTTGACCATTTTGGACCACATTACGATGTCCCAGAAGTATGACCAAGTTAAGACTAAAGTTAATAAGTTACAGTGAGTCCAATATCTAACTAGATATTCCCCTGAATTGATTATTTAGATTTGATGCCAAGTCTAAATTCTTTATTCCTGACTTGGACTCAAGATATACATTGCATATTATTATGTTATATTTGAATTTTTGTTCAATTTGAAGCATTTTGAGCTTCCAAAAGCATGTTCTTGAAACTGTAGAAAAGCAGAGCCTTGAAAGGCTTCATGCTACATCAAAGACTGCAAGAATGTTTATGCAAATCCAAGTTATCTGCAATCTGCATGTAGTTTTTCTTATATTCTTAGAGAAACATATTTAGTTTATTCTCATCATTAATCTGATTGTTGCAGTTTTGTGGTTGACACAGGAGGATCTAAGTTACTTGTGGAAACTGGGAGCTGGGTCTCTTGGGAGTGCTGCTGTAATAAAGTATGGAAGCATTCTTTTCCCTGAGATAACAAGACCCAGCCTCTTACAGGCTTTGATTATGATAACAACACCAGTTATTATAGCCATCTTTCTTTTGGTCAGGCAAAGTCAAGGACAAAGCAAGGAACCTTTTTTGTAAATTTTCTTCTTTACCACAAATATTGTGAACTATGCTGCCCGTATAGTTGGTCCAAAGAAGTTTGCTGTCATATAGAGAAGTCTAATTGTCAATAGCATACTAGTGAACTGAATTCATGGGGTAGGGCCACCATTTATGGCATATATGACCTACCAGGCCTTTAAGGTTTGTAATCAACATGATCAAACGATTGATGAGTTTCCAATATCTTAATTTCCATTTTTTTCTTGTCCATCCAGAGCAATACAGATACATAATAAATCAGAACTTTGTGATAATTTGTCCAGCTTGTTTCTCTGTGTTTGAGATTGTTTGGGTGCTGGAATTTAATGCTGCATCTGGATTATTGCATGTACATGGAAAGTTGGAAACAGCTTTTCAGTTCACAGGTGATGGTCTCTAACACAAATTGTCATTCCAAGATGATAATTTGCATTTTCAGAGTTAATAAGGAATTTGTCTGGTTCTTTTTTGATCTTACAAGTCATCTCAGGTGGACTGAAACCAGCATGATGGATTGATGGGTAGATCTTTTGCTTTGAGTCTTACATGCATCAAGAGTAATGAGCACCCTTGATCACTTGCCAAATTACCATGTTGCAATCTTAGTAGCTTTTGGAGATATTCCAAACCTATTATTACAAACAAATTAATTCTCTGTTAGCGTTATCCAACGACATCTTACATTTGACTCCCCTACTTCTAAGTAGTATAATTAGAGAAAATAGTGGACCAGTGAACTGCTTACAGTACAATATTGAGTAATGACCCAATATTGATCCCAATTATTTGAGCTTTTTGATGGGTTGAACTGGAAATGTTCTGAAAAAGATCGTAATCATACCATAAATCTTAGAGAAAATTGAATTGAATTGTGATCTATATCATATCATAAAATTATTTCTGTTTTTACAAGTCTGTAAAAATTAAAACTAGATAAATAAAAAAAAAAAGAAAAAAAAAATCAAAGAGTAACTATGGCTGTGTTTGGAAACGATGCAAATGGAGTGCAAATCCCAGTTCAAGTAAATTTGCACCCTGGTTCACTTTTGCCTGTTTGGCAACATTACATTTATGCATTGACAAATGACAGAAAACACATTTTTCAATGCATATTTACATAGATAATAAGATATAAAAGTACATCAATAAAAAAGAAGTAAATTTGCACTCAAGTGGGCTTTTGATAAAAAAAAAAGGCAGATGTTTTATTGGAATTTGTGTTTGCATCCATTACAGCTAAAAGTCTATTTAGTAAGAAGGTAAATTTGTTAGTGCAAAACTAGCCCAACTTTGCAATTTATATAAACCATTTTACACTCTACATATTTGCATTCACACTTACTTACATCGTTTCCAAACACAGTCTATGGTACCTAAAAAATTGATAACCAATCAACTGGTATTCATTTAAATTCATGTGGGTTTCTCATTGGTTTTTAGTTTTTTCAGGTACTAATGTACTGTCTTTTCAGTATTGTAAAACTTTGCCAAAAACTAAATGTATTCAGAAAGGTGATTTTATTTTTACTCCTATCCAATATATATGTTCAGAAACAATATAATTTTACCACTTACACATTTTTGTTTGGTAATTAAGGAACCACTTATCTATTAAAATTCTGAAAGAATATAATCAAGTTTTGTTTAGAAGTCAAATAATCCACAATACAATGATTCTTTAGCCTAAAGACCATAGAAGATAAACTTAATTCGGTCTCTAAAAGGTCTTAAATAACCTAAATATATCATTTGATAGCAAGGGTTTTAGAACATGTCTCCCTTGACAAAATTCAAAATAAACAAAGAAATAACAAAGTGGCGGGGCATATTCTTAATGGAATTGATTTAAATCTCACATATTGTAAGATTTGTGAATCAAATAGTGGGATTAAAACAAAACAAAACCATAAAATTTTTTGTAGGAAATGATTAAACATACCCTAAAAGGGAAAATCTATGATGTAGAAAGAGTTTTGATCAATCAAAACCCACCTATGAATTTTGATAAATAACACTTGATTCACTACCAAGTCTATGATTCTAGTTGATTGGTCAGATGTTTTTCAGATATCATATCTGTATACAAATGAAGTGAGATGGCCAATTCCAAAGGTTTTTCCATTTGACCCTTATATCGTATCAAACACATTCTTCTAATCAAGGCTGTGTTTGGTTGCATAAATTTGCACTGATGCAAAACTATTGTAGTGTAGTATAAATGAAGATAAGGTAAGACCTGAAATAGAATAAAATAAACCCCATCCCAAAACAAAATTAAACGAGAATTCGCATTATTTTTATTTGCACTACCAAGCATTTGTATTGGTGCGAATAGAATTGCACTGCAACCACGGACAGCACAAATTAAAATATATAAATTATCTAATCCTTTTATTAGCTTGGTTAGAGACCTGCATGGGCCATGCGCATGCACTTTTTTCATCTTTCCAGAAATAAATTATTTTTATAAAACTAAAAAAATGAACAAAATAGGCTTCAGCCATTCAAGTACCTCCACAAACACTGTATAAGGAGGACTACATGCAATCCTATTCCATTATTTCACTCTGCTTAGTATCACTTGATTTTCCAATTGCTGGTCATAGTAGAGACTTGGGATTGAATCTGGCACCTGGGTTTGGGGGGGTTATGGGTTGGATATGGGCTATCCCCATTGTGTAGCCCTTCAAAAGAAATTAGGGTTAATAAGTCCGGTTTCTGGGTTTGAAGAATAGGTTCAACTATGATATCATAAAAACTTACAAACAATTAATCAGTATCATAAAAAAAAGTTATCAATCGGTGGTATTCAGCAAATTCACAATCAAATCTCTTAGGTATCATGTCTTTCCAATATTATAGATTTTTCATTGAAGAATTTGAAGTTACATTGGGCTTCAAGGTTAACTAGCTTGCTGATAAGGCCTCTTGCTGGTTGTAGAAGAAACTTGTGGCCCACTATCAAAAAAAAAACCTAGCTGTATTCATTTCTCAGTATTTTGGCCTTCCCTTAGGTCATCTACTTCGGTTGGTGATCAATCTTATTCATTCGCTCAGAGTAGAACACGTAGGAATCATAGAGTTTACTCGGTGTGAGCGTTGGCACATGATCAGTGCCCCTTAAAATATGTGACCTTCCTTGCATATCAATGAAGGAATATGATTAGAAGTACTTTTGGGGTCTACTTCTCCTTTATGCAACCAAGAAAAAAGAAAGGCATCGAATGCCTTATACTACGCGGCTATAAGAATGATTTGGTCAATAAAGCAAAAGCAAAAATAGGTGTAAAGAAAAAGCAAAAGGAATGACTAATGAGAATGAGAAACACCCACTCAACTCCCACACTGCCATTCATACGGACCAGTTATACCCGTCTTTGAATACGATGCTTTGAAGCTTGAACACTCTGATCTATTCCATCATGTCATGAGCCAAACCCACCATGCAGTACACAAGATCGACGTAGTTAAACATATGTATGAATACTAATCCGCATGGCTAGCATTCACTGCTTAACCTTTAGATTCAGTTTGAAAGGAGTATAAATACAAATATGTAGAGTACAAATAACAAAACCTTATATTTTATATTATTTTGTATGTATTTATGCTGTACATATTTTTATTTATATTGTTTCCAAACTCAGCCTTAAGAAACAAGAAGAACAAGCATCTATATCGAGTCGTGTTTTGTCACGCATGGGAGGATCAAATTCCATTTTTCTTGTTTGTTTATGCATGATGGATGACTAATTTGACAGTTGATACTTCATTACTTCATCCCAAGAACATATACTGGTTTTAGGTGGTCAAAGGATGAAATTCTTTGCTCTCTTTTCTTCCTGTTAGATACCACAACAGATTCCCTAGCATTTCACTGACAAAACACCCAGAAAAATAAAATAAAATAAATTCTCATTCTCAAATCCACTCAACACTCCTGTGGATTTGAAACCCTCAAGGCCTCAACCATATCCTCTCTCTCTCTCTCTTATAAATCTAAAGGAAGTAAGTAGTTGGTATGGCCCACCAAACTGCAATTCATGATCGAAACGTGTGGGCTGCACAAGCATTGTTTGGTGGGTGAGAACGGAGAAGGTTTTATAAGCTTAAGATCATTGGTTGATCGTTCTGAGCTACTGTGAGGCGATATTAAAACAGTTTTTATAGTTTCACGCGGTTTATTTGGGAATGGGTTTCCATCAACTAACTAACCAAACCGCGTTTCTTCTCCTCCTCCAGTTTTAAATCCTCAACGCTTCGACCAACCCCAAAATTATATTATACTCTTAAGCAGAAATCCAGCCTTCTGCTTCCTTTCCTCCTTGTTCTTCCTTCGTTAAACTAAAGCTTAGTGAAGATGGTGATGGCCTTCGTGTTGTTAGCAGTTTTCTTTGTTTGTGGCCTTGTCAACTCATTATTCTATCTCCCTCCCAAGAAGCTTCTCGCATGGATTCAGGCTTTGATTCCGATTGCAAAACCTTCTTTGATCACTTCACCTGCAACAACAACAACAACAACATCTTCAGACAAGGCCGAGCTGAGAAACGTTTTCGCCACTTTTGATAAGAATAGTGATGGCATTATAACCGAGGAAGAGCTCAGAGAGTCGTTGAAGAATATAGGGTTCTCTATCACTGACACAGATTTGGTTCACATGGTGGAGAAGCTGGACTCAAACAGAGATGGGCTGATAGATCTTGAGGAGTTCAGTAAGTTGTACGAGTCGGTAGGAATAAGCAGGTCGAAGCAGAGAGGAGGGAGAGATGGGGAGTTGTTGGATTGTAGGGAAGAGGAAGAGGTGGATGAGGAAAGGGATTTGAAGGAGGCATTCGATGTGTTTGATGGGAACAGAGATGGGTTGATCACGGTGGAGGAGCTGAGCTTGGTTCTGTCGTCTCTGGGGTTGAAGCAAGGGCTGAGGAGTGAGGATTGTAGAGAGATGATCAAGTCAGTTGATATGGATGGAGATGGAATGGTTAATTTTGAGGAGTTCAAGAAGATGATGATGAAGGCTGGTGGAAGCTGTGTGGGGATTTCCTAAACATCTTCTCTACCTGCGCTCTTCAGTTCTGTTATCAAGAAGCTCTCTCTCTCTCTCCCTAATGCCCTTTTTTCTGGGTTAGTCTGTTCTTGTCTTTTTTATTTTTCTTTTTTGATGTGGGACTCAGTCAGCTTCGATTGTAGATAATTAGATATTAACAACTACAAATCTCCAAGCAATTATGGTGGAGGGAAGTGGACGTGTTTGGGCATTTTAAAGTTATAGACTTTTCAACTTCTTTTGTGAAGTTTGACCTCTACACATGGGGTGTTTGGCAACATGTTTTTGTTTTGAAAAATCATACAAAGTGAACACCTCTTAAAAGGTACAAAGAGCTCTCTCTCTCTCTCTATCTCTCCCGTGTTTGGTTATTCCATTTCAGTGCAACTCATGCAAATTGAAAAATAAATAAGGGAGCGTTTGGTAATGAGTATGATTCCGATTTTTACAACAGTTGTTTTTGTTTTGAAAAACAAAATCATACACATCAGCTAATGCTCACTTAGATGTGCGAGGAACCAGATCATTCGTCGTTCTGGTGATAGAAATAAGAGATAAACCATTTAGAGGAATGCGTCAAATCAACTCCTCTGAGGCCGACGTAAAAACTCAATCTACACACATTTCACATTTAGAGAGAAGGAAATCAGGTTGCAGAAGTAATGGGGTCATTTGAATTTTGTTGCAATTAAAGAGAAAAGCACTTGCCTACCCAAATACACTCTCCCCATTTTCTTGTATGCTACATAATCTAATGGTATACTAGTCAATATTGCGTTTGTTTGGCATCGATGTCGTTGCTCCAGAAAATGGTGATAAATCAGTACTATATTGGAAAACATGATGCTCTAAGAAATATTTATTTGTTTGGAATCGTTTTTCCATAAAAAACGGTGTTTCAAGTCACATCTTAGAAATTAAGAATGCATGGTTTAGAGTAACGTTGAATTTGATGTTTTCTCATATTGGAGTTCATTGCTGCCAACGATTGAAGACGTGATGTGGCAGTGATGTAGACTTCCTAAAATGAGTACCAGTGATGAAAACAAATATGAAGCAATGGTACCAAACAGAAAATATTATTATTGTTCCAGGAAATGTCTTATCTGGCAGTAACGTTTTCAAACAAAAAAAAAAGACATAATTTTCTCAGGAAACGATGTTTCCAACCCAAACATCAACAGTTATCTACAACATCGATGTCAAATATATACATTAATTTTATTTATTGAGTTTCATTTGATAATAATGCATTTGTGTATTGAAATGATAGTAAATACAGAATTCAAGAGATGTTTCCATTTAAAATGAGAGAAAAGTTTGCATCCAAAAATGGATGCAAACTTCTTCAATAATTGGTCAATGTAAAAAAGATGGATTTCGGTTTCAGGATTTGTGTTTGTACATTTATATAACAATTAAAAATGGTTTGGCAAGACTACAAAATTATCACTTCAAAACTAATCTAAGTTTACATTTTTATGAATCAGACGTATTTGCATTTGTACCAAACATTTTTATATTTATATTCCTCTCAAATCGGAGCCTTGGCTACATAACCCAATCAAAAGTAAACACATTGGCACGACATCCATACTAATGTGTCATAGCCCGTTGTCTACATCTTGTTTGCAGCAGCTTCGAGTCACCATAACCTACTCAGGAATAGATAGGTTAGTTATTAAATTTTGTTTTTGTTTATTTTTTATTTTTAACAAAAGAGCCATAAACAGTTAAAAACCATTGAGACCCACCAACCCAATCTGTTTAACCATTAATTCATTCAACTTGGTCACCAGGCCACAAGGTAACAGTGCAATATATTGAAATATTGGGAAGCCATAACCATGCTTTTAGTTGTTAGATTGGAATGGTATTTTTTTATTTATGGAAATTTTTCGAAATCTAATGTATTGCCAAGACTCCTAAGCTTTTGCACAAAAAAACCCCTTTTTTTACCTCAAATCCTAATTTTAGCATTAAAATTAAAAACTGAAATAAAATTAGAAATTAGATATAAAATAAAACCATATGTTATATATAAAATATAATTATATATTATTTAGACAATTGGATCAGTTTTTAAAACACTGCTTTGAAAGACACTTGCATGGTAAACATAAGGGTGATGTGCCACTTCACTTTCTTTTCTATTTTTCTTGAACTTTTGTTTTTATTGTTATTCGAAAAATGCCGAAATGCAAAAATACAACTTTTAGACATAAAACATGAGACAGAAATGAGTTCGGTAAATTAGTTGGTGTGGAAGTATACTGGGCCTGGGCCTAACAGAGAACGTGAAGGATGTCAAACCCCACCAACCGTTGTCATTATCAGTTATCACATACCCTGTCAGTCGATACTCGTGACTGGTGGTAGGCCTTGGCGCCCCAGAAACGTCCCATACAATGAAAGTCCGCCGCGTGTCTCTCATACGCATTCTCCCTTCAACGCATGCAGATTCACCCAAAACGAAAAAGTTTCTTCATTCCTGCTCATATTCATTCAAGTCTCTCGATTTCTGTGAAACCCTAACCCCCCTACACAGTATGTGTAGACCTTCTCTTCCATCCAAGCTTGGGGAGAAATTTGGCGCCGACGACACCGGAGGGACTTCCGTCTCTCTCATCTCATTTCCGACAAATATACTGGAGGTACCACACAGAAAACGTTTTCTCCTTTTATGTTTAGATAATTATATGAAAAATAATCTGAGTCACCCACAAGAATGCAAGATATTGCAGCTTGAAAAATCCAAAAACAAAAAGGGACAAAATAAACAAAAAGTCAGAACCTCGTAGCCACATAATACCAACAGATCATCACGTAAATTTTCAATTTTGTTGGTATGAGGAAGAATAGCTCCCAACTAAATGCCAATATTGAGCAATAACAGTTCTAAATAGAAACGAAAAATCACAGAAGAATTATTGTGTTAACAATGAAAATTTGGCAATTGTATCTCCTAAAATCGAATCCCAAGATGGGTTTCAACCCAAAGAATGCATCCCGGTAGATAGGATCGAAATAGAATGACAAAAGAGTAATCGTTCAAAAGGGTACATGTCTGTTCTCTCTGGTTCCTCCCTCCCTCTGTGTTGGGGTTGGATCTACTTAGAGAAACCCAAAATGGGTAACTGGATCTTCAATTTGGGTTTTGTTCGAATTGTTTGAGAGGTTTTGATAATCGGTGCTTACACCTCGAATTTCAATCCCATGCATTAGAGAGTGACATCCTTCAGAATAAGATGACATCAAGACAGAGTATGAGCGGTCATTGGTGCCAGATTTCTCCCATGTGTCTGCCAAAATAGTTGTCAACTCTCTCTCCCTACCGTCTAAACATGCATCAAACCCTCAGAGGGACGGGGAGTACCTCCTATATCTAACGGAACGGTCGTCGGCGCTGGTTCTTATCCGGCGGGGTGAACCTCCGTATCAGTTGCAACTCCACATGGGGCAGGTCGCGACACTGAGAGCATGAGCGGGAGTGGAAAAGTGCTTTCGTTTAGGTTGTGTTTGGTTTGAAGGAAAATGTGGGGAGGACACGCAGCTGGCTTCCATTGTGTGGGACGTTTTTGGGGCACCTGACCGTGGGGCGCAAATTCGAATTCTCTCTCTCTCATGTTTGATGGAATTTACTTTGTCTAGATTTCATATATATTTCTAAATATTAATAAAATAATCAAAATTTATTGAAAAAAGTTGTTCCAAAATTAAAAAAAAAAGAAAAAACACTGACCAAGGGTCTAAAAGTGGATCAAGGTTGGTTGTTGTTTAGAAAACTGGACCAGATCAGTCAGTCTGACTGGTTGAACTGTGATCTAGGATTTTGGGCGGTTCGATCATATCTCAATAACCGCTTTTGTTAAAAAAACTAGTAAAAACCGATTGACCGGCCGATTTAACTGAAAAACAGGTGAATCGTCTCGATTTCATGAAGTTGTCTGGTTTTTAACTACTAGAAATTTTAAAATCTACTTAGCAAGATTTAAACCCATGACCTTTTATTTTCATATATTACTATGAAAGAGAAGCTACATCAGAGACAAAGGTAACTCTTCCCCAAAAGTCAAAGGAAACTATAAAATGTAAACCTCCACAAGCGAAAAACTTAGGCAAATCTACAAAAGAACCTAGGTGGCAGTCTTCAATCAATGTGCTGATACTCTAGGGAATCTCGCACTTTCTACATAAGCCTTCAATTGTCAACTTGGAACCTCCTATAATGATATCACAATCTCTCCACTCTCTGGTCATGACATGGGCTTCTCTAGCTACTAACGCTTCTGCTACATTGATGGACATTCTTCCACTTGCACGAGCAATTGCAAAAAATCTTTCCCTCGGCATTCTAGGCAATACAACCAATCGCAGTATCTCCATTGTCCTTTCTTGATGCATCAAAATTTATTTTGATAGAAGGTGATTAGGGGGAGTCCAAGCAATCCAAGTTTGCTTCTTCTTAGGTTGCTTATTTAGATTGATTTGAGTTGATTCCAAGAATTTCTTGAATCGGACCGAACCGGTTCCTGCTACATTTTGGAAAGTGTTCTCATCACTGTTTTCAAAATCGGACTGAACCGAACGGTTGGACTGGAAAAACCAGGAACCGGTCACTTAACTAGTTTCGTTTTCCTCCAAAACCGTTTTTTTTCCCAAAATCGTTGATTTTGGTCAGCAAACTGCTGAACCGATTGGTTAACTATTCGAACGGTTTTGACCGTTTTCCAATTTTTAAATTTTTTTTTGTCAGAACGGGCCAACAATTCGGGTCGAATGGTCAGACCGTTCAAATCAGTAACCGGACCCTTGACCGGTTCGTTTTTAAAAACCACTGTTTTCAAAACCGGACCGGACCAAACGGTCGGACCAGGAACCGATCACCTGACCGGTTCCGTGACCGGTTTCATTTTCCTCCAAAACTGCTTTTTCCCTCAAAACCATTGATTTTGGTCAGCAAAGCGCTGAATCGGCTGGTTAACCATTCGAACCGTTCAAACGGTTTTACCGTTTTGCAATTTTTTGAATTTTTTTATTTTCTTTGTCAGAACAGGCCGATCGTTTGGGTCAAATGATCGAACCGTTCGAACCAGTAATCGGACCCCTGACCTATTCGGTCACCGGTTCGTTTTTAAAAACCATGTTAAAAACCATGGTTCTCATTCCTACTTTTCCGAATGAACCATAGGATAAAAGGACACTTTTCCAAATGATTGGAATAGCTATGATAGATGTCAATATTTTGGAGTCTTTCCCACCATTCTATTAGTTAGGGGTGATCATGGGTCAAGTCGAGCTTAGCACCAATGGTAAGGGCTTTAAGTTGGGCTTAGGCCCGGCTCGGTCCGC